CTTGTGCAGAGGATTCCAGCTTTTCTTTGTAGAAGACAGTCTTAGCAGAAGTCACTTCAGATGAAAATTTGGACAGGAGAGCACGGTAAGAGACAAGATCTGTGTCGAGTTGCGATTTCTTCCACTTCCTCTCTGCTGTTCTTAATTCTCTCCGGTTACTGCGTAACACATCTGATAGCCAAGGAGCTGGGTTGGGAATCTTCCTGGGTTTAGAGGATAGAGGACAGAGGAGGTCCATGGATGGGGAAAGTGAGGACAGGAAAGTGTCAGTGGCTAGCTCCAATGGTAGGGAGGAAAAGGAGTCAGGGACAGGAAGGGATGATAGAGTGCAGGAACCTAAGGAGGAAGGGGAGATAGAGTGGAGGTTTTTACAAGTGGGAGAGAAGTATAGATGGCTGGTGGTTTTAGGCATGATAGGGAGGGTGATGGTGAAGGATACCAAGAGATGGTCAGAGATGTGAAGAGGGGTAGCACTGATGTCTGTAGTAGGAAAGGGGTGACAGAAGCCAAGGTCCAGCGTGTTACCTCCTTTGTGTGTAGAAGGACAGCTGTTGAAAGTTAAGGAAAAGGAATGCAGAAGAGGGAGAAGGCAAGAGGACTGGAGTTTGTCAGCAGGGAGGTTGAAGTCTCCAAGGACAGTAAGAGGGGTGTGAGCAGGGAAAAGACTGAGGAGACATCATGGAGCACAGTAATTCTTTCCTCGAAAAATGGGTTGTATTGAGTGAAATGTTGACTGCTGTTTCCCAGTTTATTTTCAGTTGGTACATTACATTAGCTACTCACTGGATACTCACATTACTTTGATTAACATGATGGATTTGCTAAAGTCAGCTAGCTAGCAAATGGCAACTTAGTCAGTCATGGCCCAATACTCTAAATTCTTTCCCTGACAATAGCAAAATCAGCATACTTGCACATATTTTATGCAAGACATCTACAATTTAGCAACATGTTTTACTTATTTACCCCTTTGAGCTAGAGTTGTTCTATCCATTACCTTAAGGTTTTGCACCTGCCATTTGCCTATCACAGTGCACACTGATAGCATGACAACCATAGGCAATTCCAACCAAGCTTTGGCTTTTCCAGCCAGGAAAACAAAACCAGCAAGCAGGTATAACACCCCAAGAAGGGCTTAAACCAAGGACCCTCAGATTCAATGTCTGCTACTCTACCTACTGAGCTACCCAAGCCCTGCCAAAGAGTTTCATTTACCCTCAAAAAACAGGTTGGGCTATGTATAACTGTGTGAAGTTAACCAAGAGAAAGTTGAACCTTGGTCCTATCACATAGGCTGTCTCGTCTCTAAGTTGAGTTCAGGTACAAGTTGTCCACGCTTCACACTCACACACTGAGGTGAGAACTGTCATATGCTTTTCAAAATCTCCCTTAATATCTTGGGAAGGGGAATCCAGCCAGGTTATGAATTTAAAGAGCTTGTGCCTTGTCCTCTGAAAATGCTCTAGCCCAGATGTCAGAACCTAGTCGCAACAGTCACAGCCCCCCACTTGTCACCTCAGCGAGGAACAAAATTGCCCTGCCAACTCTGTGCCAGGATGCTTTTTGGCCCCTTGAGTGGGAAATCCAGATCAGAAGGCTGTGTGTTCAAATCATGTCAGGGTCATGAAACTTGATCTTTCACATACACGCTGGTGTCGGGGGCTTTTCTGCGGAGACTTTTATATGGACTTGAAGCTCTATGATGACTATCCATGTCTTTGTCAGCCAACAACTCTTTCACCTAATTACCAGTAGTAACTTAGCACCCTACTGTAACATATTTCCAAAGTTTGTCGATCATGATTGCTGAAAAAAAATTGCCGGAAAATACTGCTTAAGATGTTTTCAGAATACAGGTTTCAGTGGACCTGTCAAATAGTGTCCTGGGTTAAGAATGTCTGAACCATAGAGTTGTCTGTTTAAGTAGTGTGTTTGCATTTTTTCCAACAAGAAGAATTTTGACCATCCTATCACTTGGTAAACTTCACCCGCATAACTCATCCTCTCAACAGTCACTCTGAAGTCTAGATTGGCACTAGCAATTCCAAAGTTTGACCTCCGGATAAGAGAAGGCTAATCCTCACAGCCTTTGGAAGCAATTTCAAACAAGATTTGGCTTTTCCAGTCAAGAAGTCAAGCATGACGCCCGAACAGGGACTTGAACCCTGGACCCTCAGATTAAAAGTCTGATGCTCTACCGACTGAGCTATCCAGGCCCTTCCAATTGTGTTCTTCTAGCCTCAAAACAGATTGAGCCTGTGGCCACGCACGTTCAACAGTTCCAATAAAATTTGTCCTCTGCACTGGATCAGAGAGGGCTAATCCCATCTGGATCTTGTGGCACGAAAAAGAGGAGAGAGCAAGACGGGGAAGACAGCTAGTCACCCAGTTTTTTTTTTTTTAAAAAGGTGATTTATTGTTCCCCGTTTTATGTTATGATTCTGAAGCTAGTCTTTATGAAGCTGTTTTAAGTAACATAAAATAGAAATTCTCTCAGTTACTCACCCCGATGTTTATCCACTGGAGGCTGTAACAATATTTCCATGCAATGAACAACAGTAATGGAGCAGCATTCATAAAAAGATGAAAAATCACCAAGCAACAATAAAACTGCTCTAGTGATGTACATTCAAGGTTTCCGCAGCATTGGAACAGTTTTCTGTGAGGAATCGATTGAAATTTACGCTGTAGTCACGTAAATCTGCTTTAATTATCACGGGTGAGTTTATGAAATAAGTGTTGTAACAAAGTCCGATTTGTGAGTGAATCGTTTGAGTTGGTTCGTTTCAATGAATTGGAGAAACCCATTGATAAAACTAGTCTGAATGATTCATTCACGAATAGAACTGATTTTTCTCGAGTTCAGTGATCCTGTCTCTGTTTGTGTGTGCTGGTGTGTGAAACTTATAATTCACTCTGAGTATAATAATAATAATAATAATAATAATAATA